ATATTTATATTTATTTTAGAAAAAGAATTTTAAATTTTTAATAATTTTGAAAATATATAATAATTAAATAATAAATTATATTTATAATAAAATCCAAATTTTAAAAAAGTTAATAAGTTATAATGTTAATAAATAATAAATTTAATAAGTTATAATTATAATAAATATTAAATTTAATAAATAATGTTTATAATATTTTTTAAAAATAAAAGTGAAATTTAATAAAGAATATTTATAATAAGTTATATTTATATGTGTGTGTTTAAAATATTAGTTATATGTACAATTAAAATATGTTTATAATTACTAAATTTAATAAATTAGTATGTATTAAAAATAGTAATTATATTTACAATGAAAAATAAATTTAATAGACTTAAAACTGATTACAACAATAAAGATCATTGGTGGCGGGAACTAAATGCATGATGAATATTTGGACATGTCTTCCTAGTGTGATCAGGGGTATAACAATAGGAACAATTTTTTACATGATTATGTTGTTCTCTAATGTTCATCTTTATTCTAATCTTGCTAGACTTGGGCTGACCCTTGAAAGTTCTTTTGAGTTCTGGATTTGGCCATAAAGTTGGCGTAGTGTAAGTAGACCAATAATCTTCATGTCAGAGCTCTCCAAACTGTCCTTTGTATACCTTTGGAACTTGTTGTAAGGTATATATGAGAGATATGTAGCTTTGATAGTCGTGGTGTGCATGTAAGCATGAAGCGAGTATATGCATGCAAAGGATATGAACTTTTTGGAATGTGCCACAATCACACCACTCTCATCTAGCCTAACTATAAATCTCCCAGCAGGTCGAACTTCTCCCGGATGCTGCGTTTCTTTCACTAGAAATCTAGTGCTTGATTTGTCAAAGGTGATAACTCTATGAGTATTTGCCTTTGATTGTGCATCTTGAATAGTTTTGCTTTCAATTTTCGAGTAGGCATGTCCAGCATTAATCATTGCATCCACTTCCCTGCTTCTTTGAACGAAGAACTTGTTGCAACGAGTGTATGTCGCCATTACCATGGAATAATTTGGCAGATTTTGTGTTTTCTTCAATATCGAATTAATAGACTCTACTAGGTTTGTTGTCATGTGTCCCCAACGTCGTCTATTGTCCCATGTCAGTGTCCATTTTTTCCTAGGAATGTTATCTAACCATTGTGTTGCAAACCTCAGACATCTCAAGGTGGATCACACATTAGTCACAACTTTGGTTGAAAGATGGAGACTTGAGACTCAAACCTTCCATTTTCCAATAGGGGAGTGCACGATAACAATGGGGGATATTGTACTTCAACTCGGCCTAAGAGTTGGTGGTTTACCAGTCATTAGCCCAATATTATATGACTGGGAGGATATGTGTTCTACGTATCTCGGCATCGTTCCAGTTAAAGGAGAGTCACTAATTGGCTCTATGATCAAGCTAAAGTGGTTGAGAGAAAATATGTTGGAATTACTAGAGGAACCATCTCAATAAGAACTTCATGCACATTGTAGGGCATATATATTAGGTTTAATAGGAGGTGTTTTGATTCTTGACAAAACAGGCAATAAGGTACATCTTATGTATTAATCTTTATTAATAAATCTTAGAAGAACAAGACGATATAGTTGGGGGTCTACTTGTTTAGCTATGTTATACAAGGAAAAGTGTAAAGCCACAAATGTTACGAGCAGAACAATGGGTGGTTGTGCATGTTTGTTATAGTCTTGGGCATGGAATCGCATGCCATATATTGCGCCTATTTCCAGAGTACCACCAACATTCCCTTTGGTCTGCAAATGGAGTGGGGGTAGAGTACTAAACTTTCAAAGTGTACCTCATAATGATGCTGTCAGATACAGATCAAGGTTTGATCACATTCAGGCTAATCAGGTAACTCTTCAAAACAAAGTTTTATTTGTTTCTTATTTTCTTTTGTTTAGAATATTATCTTAACTAACAAAGTTTAAATTATTTGTAGTTTTTATGGGCTCCATATCAAGTCTTGCAAACAATAATACCCATGCAAGCATATAGAGATGCCCAACTATGGACTTGATGTACCCCCATGATTTGTTTTGCAATTGTTGAATGGCACCAATCGGATAGAGTGAAATTACAATTTCGTCTCTTTTAGGATGTCCCTTCTCCACCCAATAATTTAGATAACCTATACAAAATTAACATGAGGGGAAAACAAGATAAAAAAATGGGTTACAAGACATGCTCAATGGATCGACATGTGGAACAATAGACATGATGATAGATTATGGCCAAGGCCAAGAAATCCAATAGGTGATACATTGAAGGAACCAAGAGGAATGGGATGATGGACCATGGGCCAAGGGCCCAATCACTAGAGCTATGGCCACCTAGAAGACCAATGGACACCTTGAAGATCAGTGGGCTTTCTAAAGCCCAAGGTACTCTTCAATTTGAACCACTCTATCATGAAGAGAAGGCATAGTTCTAGTTGTAAATATCTTGTACATAGTTCTCTTGTATAGGCTTATTTTTTTGCCTTTGTATTTGTGAGGCATTTTAGTTTTTTTTATTAGTCATCGTATATTGATTCTAGGGTGGGTTACTTGGAGAGTTTGACTCCATTTAACCTCCTTTGTTGATACATTCATTTTCTATTTTTCCAGTAGTAGAAGTGGGGTGACATTTAGTAATGCTTGAGGTTGTGACTAGTAATTGGGCCAGAATTGGGCCTAGGCAAAATTTTACATATTGGACTCATTTTGCTCCTAATTTTTCATAGATTTGATTTAGTTAGGTCTCATCTACTTTTGATGAACCTAACTAAACCAAATCAAAACATTTTTAAAATTAATTCAAGGAGCTAATTGGGACCAAGGTCGCCTAGCCTAAAGCTTTCTTCCTTCTTGGCCGAATGTTTATACCTTCTCAAAGCATTGACACTACAAGAAAAATCAGCATTATCTACGGAAAAAATCGGCAGAGAGAGAGAGGTGGGAGATGG